TGTTGGAGTCGTCCGATAGTCCAGCGAAACCAATGACTCTTAAAGCTCTTTCCCTGTGATTCACATTTCTGGATGTGTTCAGACAATAACATAATAAAGCGCTGGAATATTATGAGAAACAGATTCTTCTGATCCGATTGCGCCGCTTCTAAGCGCTCTTCAATGGAGTCGACCATCTCTTCAGTGGGAACTTCACTTTCTTCAGCCGTATCTCCCGATTCCATCTAAACATAAACCAATCGTTACAATAACTACAAAGGCTCAAAATAGTTGCTAAATGAGCCCAATTGCCAATTGCTAAAATAGTTTCTATACTTTATACTTAAATATATATGAAATTCATTGATAACTAGTTTAAATAATTATGTTATTATTTCCAAACCTTTCGTAATTTTTCTTTCGATTCTTCCAATTCTTTTTCAAGTGATTCAACACTTCTTATAGACTTTTGTATCGTTTGGTTTAGAATTTCCCAAATGTATGATCTGTTACAACATTTAGGTCACATATTAGTACCAATAATATAATTAAAACAATCAATACTTCATAAATTCCGATGAATTCTCTTTAGAGAAGAGCCAATTGGCAACAGAAGAGCATTCAATGACTTCTGATTTCAATAATTTACTGATGAGAATAACCAATAACTAATTCAATTCAACATATTATAAGTTAGTCATTATTTACAAATCAAATCATTGATTGCAATACCTGTTGATGTTTTCTCCAAACTTCAAAAATTGTACTCAAAATAGAGATCTGCGCTTCTTCTGAGGTCTTGAGCGCCATAAATGCCGAATGATATCTATCATCAAATTTAGTAAATTATATGACAAAAAGTACAACAATTTTAACAAATACTTAGCAATTGCTGAAAAACAATGCGTAAATGATTTTGAGGCCAAATTTAGCAATACTGTCACAAACACTTCAATTTGCAATGAATTGTGATTCGGCTCTGAATTAATTACAACAATTTTAACAAATACTTAGCAATTGCTGAAAAACAATGCGTAAATGATTTTGAGGCCAAATTTAGCAATACTGTCACAAACACTTCAATTTGCAATGAATTGTGATTCGGCTCTGAATTAAATATACACTAATTAGTGAACAAAATAACTAAACAAATAAATCTCATGAATACCGTCATCAGTTTCCATCAAAGGAGCGGTCAGTTCTTTAAGAACCTCGAGTGCCTCCTCTGGAGTGCATTTCTCTTTGATTTTATTGACTAAAGCGGCGGCGACTTCAGCGGTGGGCACAGACTCTGGCGGTTTGTCGCCCTCTAAACTGTATTTGTTATGAGGAATCGGGTCTTCGGGCGCCAACTCATGGAAAGAGTCGGGAATTATTTTGACGACCTGTTCGTGAAAAGACAAACGCAAACAACGCAAAAGTGTTTCGCGAATAAATTTGGGCTTCGGGTGCAACGGGTCTAATGTAAGAGCTGTACTCCAGTCATCCCAACTCCACCGGAATTGGAAATTACTTAAATGATAGGCAAACCATACGGCAAACCGATCGACACACATGCAGTTCATTGTGTCCAGCCTTTCAAATAGCAGTTCCACCGCTTGTGCCAACTGTTGACAAATACACAAATCATTGTTTAGAAATTATGCCAACAATAGTATGAAGATTACAGACCACTTGAGGCAGAGAACTGGGCTGTAATTTACACAATTCCAAAAGTGTTGAGCCGTAAAAAACGTCCAAATATTTACTCTTTGGTAAATCAAACATTTGTGAAAACATCACTTCGATTATCATGTATTCCAACGGAATTTTATGTTTGTTGGGAAACGTCAATAACTTCATAGCACTAAACATAAACAATCAATCAATTATTTAATAAATACAACTAATTTTTTGTCAAATCAAATACCAGTCCTTTCTATCAGTATTATTCTGATTGATAATCCAATGCAAGTGTTCTTCAATTAAATATCTTTCAATGGAATGCGCGCCGGGAAGGACCGGACCTTCTGGACAGTCCGTGTAGTCAAAGAGTCTGAACACCACTTTAGGGTACGGATAGACATAATTTGCTTCGTGAGGCGGCGGCTGTACTTGTGGTAAGTTATGCTGAAGTGCTTCGCATAACACGCTGTCNCCTTCTGGACAGTCCGTGTAGTCAAAGAGTCTGAACACCACTTTAGGGTACGGATAGACATAATTTGCTTCGTGAGGCGGCGGCTGTACTTGTGGTAAGTTATGCTGAAGTGCTTCGCATAACACGCTGTCAAATGCCAAATACGGTCGATATATATGCCGTTCAACCCATTTATCTGAACGTAGTTTAGATATTTGGGCCCAAAAGCAATCCAAATACTCTTCCTGTGGATGAGGAGTGTCTGAATACCAGACTCGAAGAGCCGTGTGATGGTGTGTCTTATTTCGCTGTTAAACATACACTTCATTAGTCAATCAAATCAATTAGCAGTTTATGTCAAACATTGATACCTTATTTAGATAATTATCAATAGTGTTGAGCAGTTGTTCTAAGTCTTGTTCCTTCTTCTCGTAGAGCTCTTTGCCGACCCACGGAAGCGCTGACAGAACGCAGAACACAAAGTAATCCGATCGCGACTGAGGGATGTTGTCCTCCATCGACACCTCCACTAGATTTTCAAACAGATTCATCAGTGAAGCCGAAGATATGACCCGACAGTTGACTAAATCGCCAAAAAATCTGACTAAAAGTCTCG